ATATATATATATTAAGGATCTTTATATGCATAAGTCTTACATACAAAAATCACAAAAATTATTGTTATTTATTTTTCACTATGAGTAACTGAAATGAATCACTTACTTCAAAAAAATAACTCTAGAAAAATAAAATAAAAAATAAGAAATCATATTTTACAATTTAATGAAATTTAAATTGTAAAATAAAAATATTAAATGAAAGAAAATTTCTCAACAACATTAAAAACTTACTCTCATTTAATCATTAATATAATATAATTTAATACAATACATTACTTTTTTTTTTTTAAAGAGTATATGGTTGTCTTAGTTTAATAGAGAATACTCCATTTTTATATTTTAAATGAAGCAAACTGTTTTCACAAGAAATTGATGGGACCTTGTGGTGGAGCTCTTCCCCGCATCGTTTTCTCCTGCTGACATATTGATAGCCTGATTTTGACATGATCCTGTTTGTAGCGGGTGATTTAGTCGTAGTTCGTAAACCAGCTTGTTAGGTTGTTACCCATTTCCAATGAAAATGCCCCGTCTTACAATTCGTTTTATGCGGACTATTATACATTTGATTTCCAATGATATTGTTCCATGCATGGGGGAGAAGGAAAGCAAAGAACATTTGCTTTAAAAGAAAAATGCAAAACTTGGATAGAAAGATGAAAACCTCCTTTTGTTCATGTAACAAGTATTCTTCTTCCCTTCTATATTTAGATTCTAGAAGGTTGCGATGCGAATCAAACTTTGCGGCGCCCCCATCCCAACGTAGATATCAAACCCACGAGCCAATGCAAGTTGAAGACTCTTTGTGCACTGCACGCTGGTCCTACTCCAACACAAAAGCATTGCCTTTTATCTCTTTTTGGCCCCACGAACTCAGTTTGATATTGCACTAAATCATTTATTGACTTTATTCTATTAATATCTTCTGCTCCCCTGCATTTCAAACATATGCCTTTAGAACTTAGGGATTAAACAATTTATTTTCTTGTTAATTAAGGTTTAATTCCCCAAAAATAACAATAGGGGCAACTTTTCTCATGAATTTCTAATGTAATTTGCATTAGATGACTTGCCTTTTGATGGAATTAGAGAGCTGGATGATTCTAAACCTCCCAACATCATCTTTTGCTTTTAGATATTTGAAGACTCTGTTTTTCTTGTTTCCCATCCCTTAGGAAAGCGGAAACCTTCCCCTGATGATGTTTGGACAAGATGAAGTTGAATTTGCAAACAAAACAATGGAACTCCCAAAGCCACCGTCAATACCAAACCCATAAACCTCACGTGGAGCCCTTTAGCTACTTTCACATGTACAGATATTTATACAACACGAAAGAAGCTACAATGCCCACCCCACTTCCCTTTTTTCACTACATAATATCGCATAAATCTTCCCTCCCTTCCCTTCTCCTCTTTCCCTTACTTCCTTTCTTTCCATAGTCTCTCTCTGAAATGGCTCTTCTTGGGTCATGTTTGACCCTTGTTTTTCTAGTTCTGGTTCTATCTGACACTGCTACTTCAGCTCTGATAATGAGCTCGAAGAACCACCAAAGCAGGCACCAACACAGAAGAAGATTACCAATGTTCCAAACCAACCAAAGCACATGTGCTCTGTTTGCAGGCACTTGGGTACGTGATGAAAGCTACCCACTTTATCAATACTCCAGCTGTCCCATTATAGACCCACAATTCAACTGCCAAATGTATGGAAGACCCGATTCTGATTACCTCAAATATAGATGGCAGCCTCTAAATTGCGAGCTTCCCAGGTACCCTGCCAATGTGCCCTGTTTCAGGACTTCTTTGCTATTAAATGTTCGTAAATTTGTGGTAATTCTTGTTGTAGCATGTTCATGGTAGGTTCGATGGGCTTGAGTTCTTGATGAATATGAAAGGGAAAACAGTGATGTTTGTGGGTGACTCAATGGGGAGGAATCAATGGGAGTCTTTAATTTGCTTGATTTCAGCTGCGGCGCCACAAACCCAGATGCAAATATCAAGTGGAGATCCCCTGTCCATCTTCAAGTTCTTGGTTAGTAATCCATGAAGAAAAATCCTTTACCTTTTCATGTCTTACAGACATATTCTTTACTTGTATAACTTCACTAAAAATTTTTCAAGTCGAAAAGGTTGTTTCAAGCATGTGGGTTAAGATGTGGGGATGAATTTTGGACATTATATGTGAGTTCGGATATAAAAAATTTGCATCTAACCTCCCACTAATTGATAATGGATAAAATAATCCTCTTTATATTTAACTTACATACCTTTTCTATATATTCTCAATTTTCTCCACTCTACAAATTGTATGCCAACTGCAAGGGCCAAGGGATGGAAATGAAAGCAACATTGGTGAATGCAGGATTATGATGTGTCTTTGGCGTTTTATCGAGCACCTTATTTAGTGGACATAGATGTGGTTCAAGGGACGAGAATTCTGAGGTTAGAAGACATATCCAGCAATGGAAATGCGTGGAAGGATGCTGATGTTCTAATGTTCAACACAGGACACTGGTGGAGCCACAAAGGATCTCTCAAAGAGTATGCAAAACTGCAAAGTCTTTCTTTTTTTTCTCCTTTTTCTGCTGCTTTAGAGCTTAGAGTGAAAACCCCAATCAGGATTTTTTTCTGTTTCTTTTAATTTGACTGATTTGAGGTGAATTCTGGGCAGGTGGGATCTCATAGAATCAGGAGGCACATATTACCAGGACCTGGACCGTCTGGTTGCTTTGGAAAAGGGACTAAGAACGTGGGCTGATTGGGTAGACAACAATGTTGACAGAACCAGAACCAGAGTCTTTTTCCAATCCATTTCTCCCACACACTATGAGTAGGTTTCTGTTCCCTATCCTCATATATAGGAGTAAGTAGTATAATTGCCCATTTATTGCGCGGGATAGAAATATAGGTACCGTTAATGTGTGGTGAAATGTAGGAAATTAGCTTAAAACACTAGAAATTCTGTCCAATATATATAAGCTGTACTAAGGGCTGCTGGTTGGGTCCGAACATTGTTCAGATTGCTCCATATCTTAAATCTTGGTTGAACAAACTCGGATGATTCTATTTCTTTAGAAGTAGAACCATCAAAGAAGTTCATTTATTGATCTCTATCTCCCAAACTGTTAATTTGACCACAGTGACATTATGAAGATAAATCAATATAAAAAATGTCACGAGTAAGAGACATTAAAAAAAATATAAAAGTCACTTATAATACTTGTTGCATTGGATAAGATGCATATATATCAAGGTTAAGATTTCGATTCTAATTCTTGTAAATGTCTTTTTTCCTCATATCCCCATGTTTAAAAAATAAAAAAAAGAAGAAGTATAAAGAATGGGTGAGTGTCGGTCGTCTCTCATCTGACCTATCTCACATGGATATGACTGAATTTTAGTGGCAACCAAAGCAGTGTAGTGTACCACTACTACCCATGCTTACAATGCTTTTAGTGATGGATTTTTTACTGCCTTCTTTCTTACAACTGTAATGCCCATGAAACAATGAGTAATGTAGTCCTGTTTTCATTTTTTTCTGTCGGTGGAAATTGACCCTTGACCCTTTTGTTTCATGATAACTTCCAATGGTACATAATGGTCTGATCACTACTGATGTTTGATCTAATGATTCAATGATTTTTGGCAGTCCGAGTGAATGGAGAACAGGAACAACAGTGACGCCAACAAAAAACTGTTACGGAGAAACAACACCTGTGAGTGGAATGACATACCCGACCGGAGAATACCCTGAACAGATGAGGGTGGTGGATAATGTGATCGGGGATATGCACTTTCCTGTATACATATTGGACATAACCATGCTTTCTGAGCTTAGGAAAGATGGGCATCCCTCAATATATAGTGGTGATTTGAGTCCTGACCAAAGGGCTAACCCGGACCAATCTGCAGATTGCAGCCATTGGTGCCTTCCTGGGTTGCCTGATACTTGGAACCAGTTATTCTACACCGTCTTGTTCTACTAAGTTTTATCATTTATGTGCTTCTTCCCATATCTCTTTCAATTTCCATTTTTTTTTTTTTATTATATGTTTTCTGAGAGTTGGCAGAACTGCAATTTCCTCTCTGCATCTTTATTCACTGTACTTGTAGTTAAGATTAGTCCAGCTTCTCCTGAAAGTAAACGCTTATATCATTCATTTCCAAAGAGAAACTAGTTGTTTTTTTGTCTAATATCTATTTTTGTTTCATGTCTGGAATCTGGAATCTAGAATCTTCAATGCATATATATCTACTGTCTAGTTAATAGAAGAAGTTACAATTTCAAATGAGTAGGAACCAAAGGGAAGATTCGCATTAATTTTAACTTCCTCTAGTAAACACTGGGAAAACACTCCAAAAAACAGATGGGTTTCAGAAACAACAAGATAACACTAACAAAGCATATACTAATATTACACACAGCATCTAAAGCTTCATTAACGCAACAACCCCTAGTTAAAGTTCTTTTTATAATTCTTGGAATCTCCTTCAAGGAGTCATTGGGTTATGATAGCAAGCCCTGGAGAAGTGGTGACTTCGTTGATTCCAGGTATGGTATCAATAACATTTGATGACACATCGGCAGCACTGGTTGCAGGTGGCTGAGGTGGCTGCGGCTCATAAGCTGAGAGATGGACTCCCAATGCAGCCCTGCCCGAAGGATCAAGATTATTTGCCCATGCAGCATCCCACTCCACAGCTTTAGCCGTGCTGCATGCCACACTGGCTCCCCCTGGGACACTCAATCTTGCCGAGTTCTGTAAGACCAAATAGTGGAAGAGAATCAAATTGATTATCAATAATCACTGTCATCAATCATGACAATGTAATTCAGGAAATTCAGACAATTCACCTGTGGAAAGAACCTCTCGAAAATCATCCTGTAGTAATAGGCTTCTTTGGTAGTTGGGGTATTATGAGGAAAGATGTATGCAGCATTTTGCATCATCTTATCTGTCACCTGAGAGTATAACGGAAGAATTAAAACTCTGTATCCAAAAATGGAATGTGATGTAATTATATTTTAGGCTCTAGCTAAGAGAGAACAAATTTGAGCATTGAGAAAAAGAAGAGATCTAAATGTATATACATTTTCTGCAGCATGGGCTTTGACACCATCAATCCAGCCATAGCCAACACCATCACTAAACTGTTCTTTCTGCCTGTACAGGATTCGCTGCGGGGATCAAACAATACTTGTTAGTTGAGTGTGCTAAACTTAACTGACGAATGCTAAAGCCAATAGATAAGCAAGAGACCTTTGGCAGATATGGATGCTCCTCATCATCAAAGGCCCTTCTAAGAACCCACTTCTCCATGCGGCCTTCCTCTCGTTTAATCTGTAATCGCTCAAAAAATAGTGATAAGCATTCCGTATAAGTTATTAAATCCCATGCCCTGATGTCCTAAGACCAGCAGTTCAAGTAGCAAAAGTAGGTGATCACTAGTTTGTTTACCATTTTCCATTCAGGATCTATAGACATGGCAACATTAATAAATTCTTTGTCTAAGAAAGGGACTCGAGCTTCCAATCCCCAAGCAGATGTTGATTTGTTAGCTCTCAGGCAGTCATACTGATGCAGGGCCTTTATCTGCATAAAGAATACAAGGGGGATAAAACATGATCACCGTCTGATATATAATATCTTCAAAGGCCAAATCCTCTGCAGATAACTAATTTGCTCTATTTCATTACCTTGCGACATGTTTCCTGATGGAGCTCTTCCTTATTTGGTGCCTTGTGGAAGTACAGATACCCACCAAAGATCTCGTCGGAGCCTTCACCAGAAATAACCATTTTCACCCCTAGTGACTTAATCTTACGTGACATGAGAAACATGGGGGTGCTGGCCCTGATTGTTGTAACATCATAGGTTTCAATATGGTATATAACATCTTCAATGGCATCAATTCCATCCTGCCACAATCCAAGAACATATTTATGGCTTAGAGTTATGTGGCTCGCAACTCTTGAATGAAACACTACTTTTATTTAATTTCTAATTAATACCTGAACGGTGAAGTAGAACTCATGATGAAGAGTGCCCAGATAGTCAGCAACTTCCCTCGCAGCTTTCAGATCTGGTGAACCCTGCCAATTCACATAGGCAACAGTTTTGAGGACTAATTAAAACTAGTGAATATAAACCTTAAGGTGTCATCTAAAGGCTGCATATAAATTACCTCTAGGCCAACACAAAAAGAATGAAGTTGGGTACCCCATTGTCTGGCTGCCTTTGTGCCAGCCAAGTGGCGAGCTGTGATAGAAGCAACCAAAGAGGAATCGAGGCCCCCGGAGAGCAGAACGCCAAAAGGCACATCAGTCATCAGCCTTTTGATTACAGCCTGCAAATATTGGATTCAATATGTGAGCTAATAACTATTTGACAGATTAGTGAAGCTCAAGCACATGCATCTTACATTTTCAAAGGCACGTCTTAGAACAAGTGGATCATATGGAGTTGATGGAATGGCCTCAGAGAACCAAGGAGGGTTAGACCATTGCCTAAATCCACCCAATTTGCTAGAGTACAAGTGACCAGGAGGAAAAGTCTCAAAATGTTCACAGTCATCATTCAATCCCTTGAGTTCTGATGATATCCAAATCGAACCTGAGTAAAACATGCACAAAGTAAATCAATTAAACAAATATAACACAAATTTTAGTGAGTTAGCAATATTATACACATCGTTACTTCAAAGAAAGGTTTAATACCATCAAGTCCCCATCCAATATAGAGTGAGGTGACCCCAATGGCATCACGGGCGGCTATGAAGCTGTTATCACGAGTATCCAACAGAACAAACGAAAATACTCCATCCAACATGTCGATAAAATTTTCCCCATACTCCTCATACTATCAAAGAGAGGTCAAACAACAAATTACTTGTCAGAACAAGGACCAGGAAAACAACTAAAAGTAAACTT